GACTGATTGACAGAATGAATACCATTGTACCGAGTGCATCTTCGTCTTCTTTGTTACCCACTCGTTCATATAGCATCTTTCCATATTTGGGGATGATTTCTGATAGACTCAGTAAGATTTTTAAAAAATTTAATAATGTTCAAAGTTTCTGTATTATGAACAAACTTTCAGATTTAGTTCGTGTTCATAAAGACACATTACCTCTGAATCTTCATAATAATGTTGTGAACAAGTTGGAGTGCAATGACTGTGACTCGTCTTATATTGATCAAACAAGCAGAAAGCTTTCTACTCATGTATCTGAGCATAAACGTTTACCTAGGAACCTTACATCACAGCTCTCTGTTGTCCAGGAGCATCGTGTTAAGTGCGACCATGAATTTAGATGGGATAGTGTAAAAATTTTACATAAAGAACGCCTATTTTATAAAAAGATGATTGCGGAGATGATTTTTATTAAAATGCAGACACACGGACTAAATTCTCAGACTGATACTGAGAATTTGGGAAAATGTTATAATACGTTGCTTGGTTTGACTTGAATTGTTTTTCGTTTGTAATTCGTACCAAGTAAATATAAACACATAATTCTGTGCTGTTTGCGGCATTCGGAAGTACACGTTCATTAGCTTGACATCTCCCTGGAACTCTACTATCTATTATTGAGGTATTTATAATTATTTTTTCCTCATACTTTGTTTGGTTACTCTATCTCAATACGTTTTTTAGATAATTACACCACAGCACCTTAGTACGTGCGATGGAGTGACCAATCTTATAATAAGTTACTAATGTCTTCCAGGGAGAAATTTTCTTTGTCTTATTGACTATTTGTAATTATTTACGATGCTTCCGATTCCCGTAAGCAAAACTTGCAGCGACAACTTTTGTAACAACCTTTGTAATACCGATTATTGCGACTTTTACATTTTGTGATACTTAAATATAATTCGTTTTCAACTTGTAATCACTGAAGAGGGTCTGCGAAATTAGATTGAAACGCGTTTTATGATTAATAAATTTCTTCTCATTGTAAGATTGGGTCACCATTTTTTAATAGTTTTAATAGCACTATTCAACCTGTGCTTGAACTCTTATTGTCCTTTACGTTATATTGATGATACTCAAGAAGAGTTTTTTTATTTCTTTTAGTACATAAACTGCCAATAACTATATTTGAGGTGGTAATAATTGTGATCTTGTTTCTTTAATTTTATAGATTTATAACATAAATGTATATAACATTTTCCTAAAAATGCATACACATATATTTTCCTTTAACCTCTAATTACAACCTATTAAAAACCCAATAACTAAAAACATAATCTTTCCGAAATTATAACCCAATTAATAGATTTATGTACTTAATGTGCCAATGTACTAATATTAGGGTAAAAGCTATAGCTCTTACCTTAATATTAGTACATTAAGCACATAAATCTAAGATAAATTGTAAGAAAGATCATTATAATAATATGCTAAAAAGTATAGGAAAAAAGACAAATTTTCTAAATAAGATAGGTGATAACGTAGCGGCATATACTAGATGTATTGCGTACAAATAAATCATAGTATTCCCTTCGAAAACTATGCGACTTTATTAATTAATATGGATAAAACATAGCTGAATAAGTTGTAAGTAGCGCAGAACCGAGCCATGAAAGTCATATTATAATACAAGAGACACACTAAAGAGGAATGCATGCTACAGTTTATATCCGTAAAATAAAGATTATATTATGACAAACAATAATGTTTGTTTTAAGATAATAATTTACTTATTTTTATTTTTATATTTATTTCCGAGATAGTAAATGGATAGCTACTAAATAAATTAAAAAATAAGATAGAAATAGTGAGTGATGTAAGTGGAAGGCAAACACGACAAGCTGGTAATATTGCAATATAATTTCGCCGGACAAGTAGTGCGCAAAAAAGTACCTACAAACGAGTAAAAATGTATAACACTTTAAAAGTAGCTACAGTAGATTACAGTAGATTAATAATTATACATATTCCTCTAATTGTGTATGCAGATTAACTAGAAGGAACGTTGAGGAAGAATTTCATATTTTTATATTATCATTTGCATTTAGAAATTGCGATATGTGTTTGTGCGCGCGCGTATGTATGTGCATGTGTGACAATAAAAACAGTAGTATTATCTTTCGTTATAATAACAGGAAAGGTAAATCTTTAGGAAAAAAAAGCAAAGATTTGTCGTGTCGTTTCCTTTTCCGATAATTGTAATAAAATTCGCTTACGTGAATAACTCGCGATGGTAGATTAGCCCTAGTGGTGATCTTTGTGCGTGGCCTGGGGCTCCCGCAGAGAGAGTTGACCGTCGATGACTCGTCGAGCCAGCCGTCCGTAGGCGCGAAGATGGACAACGGAGCCGAGGAGGCGGCGAACTCGTCCCCGAACGGCTCCTCGAACCCGTCGCCATCGTTGAGATCGGTGCCGCGCAGACAGAGCGGACAGGCTTCGCTGCGAAAGAGGCAGGAGTAGCAACGTTCGTGTCCGCAGGAGTCGATCAGACGACGCTTCTTGCCCTTGTCGAACGGCATCTCGCATGACGGACAAGTGGAACCGCCCAGCATTCCCGTTGACTCGACCAACGCTCGTATCTGCGCCAAATCTGTGAAACCACCAGATGTTACAATTTTATCCTCTAATTTATAATTCGTGCAGAGGAAACGAAATTCGCGCGGGACTCGTTTTCTCGTCCATCCTCGATTATACGAGTCATCTGAGTGTGTACATTTGCAAATGTGAATGTCAACGCGAAGCATGAATTTAACTAACGACTTCCGTGAATCAGAATTACATCGAGTCAGTGTGCTACTTTAGAAAAGCCGGTGGCCGTTTGACAGTAGACCTATCTGTCATCCGCGAACAACTCGCTCAGATCTTGGTATCTCGGTAAAGGAGAGACACGACATCGCGTGCTCGTCGAAGCACGGCGAAGCAGCGTTCGTTCATCGATAATACGCGAATAAGTTGAATGAAACTCGCGAATCGAAGGCGCCATGTACTCGAAGCGTTCTAGAAAGTGAGGTCAAGAGGAGACCTCACGCGCCCCTCTCGATCCTTCACGTATATGCAAGTATACATGTTGCAAGTATGCAAGTGTACACGTCGTTTATGCACTACATGCAGCACATGCACTACATGCTCTCGCTTTATCACTATATCGTCTTCTCCTTATTACGCTTGTTCCGTCTTAGCTAACGATTTTGACATTGCGTTAATCCACGTGAACTCGCCGGTATACCTGGCGAGAAACGCCCGGGGATTCAAATCTGTCTATTTCGAACGTGCTCTATGATTTCCAATCTGCTCGACATAATCACGATGTAAGTCTATGTAAGTATAAGAATGACGCATTTACTGTAACTGTGATCTTAGGAATATATAGAGAACCACCTCTCTTTCTCTTTTTTTTTTTTCTATTGTCGTTTATCACGACAATGATTCAACAGTTGCAAGAATTGATTGAAGAAATCAGGAAGATGACTTAAAGATGCTTCTTTTAATTAGCATTCGTACGTACAGTAATTGCCAATTTGAAATGCCAGGGATATCCCGCGTCGTTAAATTGCGTCGTTAATTTAGATTGTTCCAATTTTTTAGTAAACTACTTGATAAATAAATCATACATATGTCTTCGTTTTTTCTTCAAATTAGACAGAGACAGACACATGATCTAACTGTTAGGTAGCTTACCAAGAGATTAGAACAATCAACCTTTAATTAAGCGTTAATTCAAAATAGAAATAAATTGAAAGCGCGCAAACAGGCCCATACGTGGCGCGCTTAACCCTTAGCTGGCACACTGGAGTCTTTGAAGTCCCAACTTAATTCACCTCCAATTTATCTCCCCTCTATAATACGAAAATGGTGCTTGTGTCATCATCTATTGTTTGTCCAAGGAACCCTCTTTCTCCTGGATTACTTAACGTAATTCTAAAAGCGTCAGTCTAGCTGTGGTATTCAAGTGAAACGGAGTCATCAGAGATCCCAGTGTACCAGCTATAATTATTCGAAGAATTTTTTTCTGAATTTTTTCCCATTGATGTTTGTCATCAGGGCTTAGAAAAAGGTAAATATATAATATTGTAGGGAAAAAGATAAATATATAATATTGTAGGGCATTTAATTTTTTTTCAAGAGTATCATATTATTCCAGTTTTATTAGATGACGTATCAGTTATGGCTGCGGCCCATATGCTGCAGCTACTCGAGGAAGATCGTGAGAATAATTTTTGTACATTAATCAAGTAAAATTTACTCATATCTAATAAATAAACAAATATACTTTGAAAAAATAAATAGTATTGTATATACTTTTTTAACTGAAATTCGTCTTTTCAACTCTCCAAATAAATACCTTTTTTGAAACGGCCACTATCAAACTATTTTTTTCCTTAAAGTGTTATATCTCAATAGTGTCAAGTTAAATTTTTATCTCTTAATATGAAAAAATAAAAGAGTTATCAATTTTTTAGTGAAAATAGTCATTTTTTCGTTTTTTTCGAATTTTTTTCATACTCAGTATTACATTTTATCAAAATAACCTATGATATCTTTTAAGTCGATATTTAAAAACTATTTTGAAATTTTTTAAAGTGAAAAAAATTAATAGCTTCCACACAGCAAGCATTTTAGTGTTTGGAGTCTCAAACGGCCCAGTGTACCAGCTATGTGGCTGTGGTGAAATGTGCCAGCTAAGAGTTAATCGCTAGATCTAGCAGGAAAACCATTTACATAAAACGTTTTTATTCATTTTAGCTTGGTATTTTAGATAATTATTTACGATAAGGACACTTCGCCGATAACCTGGATCTCCCCTCCTAGACACACATTGTCAAATATATGATCCAGAGTAACAATTAAAAAGTTTCAGACATCGCTCTTTGTTCATTAAAAAGTTATAAGAACAAAAAAAATCTAAAAATTATATTTTGGAAGAGACGTGTTGTGTAGAATAACACAAATATGTATTACGGTTGAAGATAATATATATATAAATAAAACTCGAAAGCTGAATCTGTTGTGTATTGTCAGTATTCCCTCTTCTCTCTCTCCAAGTACTCGTCACTTAGACAATATGCGTCTGTATGAATTTCTCGCGATTTACGATAATGAAGAAATTATTCTAAATTTTCTCTCTGGTCGAGAAATATCGCAAATGAAATTAGCTGCTCAAATTGTAAATCAAGAGTGAAATTTACACGAAATTTAAATAAATTGATATATCATTATCACAATACAGGGTGACCCATTTTAATCTATAATTCCGAATATCTCCTAAACTACCAGTTCTACGGGAAAATAGTTGCGACAAAAAATGTTCAGGACAGAAGGGTTCACAAACCTGTGCTAATGACCTTGACCTTGAGATGACCTTTCGAAGTTATTTGAAGGTTAAGGTCTTTTTTTTTCAATGGGAACCCCTATTTTTGACCCCGGATTTGGAAAGAACAGGAAATTTTACGTTCAAAATGATATTTTGAAAATTTTTTATATGACCTTCAAAGGTCAAATAAAGGTCAAATGTCTAAAAATGGCTGTAGAGCTGTTTTTCTGAGTGATTATGGTTTTTTAGGATTGACAAGCGTTGGAGGAACTTTAAAAAGTAAGTGTGATACGCTATGACCTTCTTGACCTTTAAGTTAACTATGAAGGTCATTTGAAGGTCGAGGTGATTATTTGAAATAGGAATCCCTATTTTTGACGTTGGATTTGAAAAAGCAGGAAATTAACGTGAGTAAAGACACGTCTTCGCGATTTTCATCGCTTGTGTAAAATCCACCACACAAGGTGAAAATCGCTTTCTTGCACACTCATTGGAGTGAGATATTCTTCTTACTTTTGGCGTTACCCAGAAGCAACGACGTGGACGTAGTAAGTACTGTTTCCTTTGGGGTGCTTGATTCCCGTGAGTCCCCTTGCCTCTCACGTTTGGGGTGCTTGATTCCCGTGAGTCCCCTTGTCTCTCACTATTACAGTACTTACTACGTCCACGTCGTTGTTTCTGGGTAACGCCAAAAGTAAAAAAAATATCTCACTCCAATGAGCGTGCAAAAAAGCGATTTTCACCTTGTGTGGTGGATTTCACACGAGCGATGAAAATCGCGAAGACGTGTTTTTACTCACGTTAATTTCCTGCTTTTTCAAATCCAACGTCAAAAATAGAGATTCCTATTTCAAATAATCACCTCGACCTCCAAATGACCTTCATAGTTAACTTAAAGGTCAAGAATGTCATAGCGTATCACATTTACTTTTTAAAGTTCCTCCAACGCTTGTCAATCCTAAAAAACCATAATCACTCAGAAAAACAGCTCTACAGCCATTTTTAGACATTTGACCTTTATTTGACCTTTGAAGGTCATATAAAAAATTTTAAAATATCATTTTAAACGTAAAATTTCCTGTTCTTTCCAAATCCGGGTTAAAAATAGGGGTTCCCATTGAAAAAAAAGACTTTGGCCTTCAAATAACCTTGAAAGGTCATCTCAAGGTCAAGGTCATTGGCACAGGTTTGTGAACCCTTCTGCCCTGAACATTTTTTGTCGCAACTATTTTCCCGTAGAACGGGTAGTTTAGGAGATATTCGGAATTATAGATTAAAATGGGTCACCCTGTATATTATAAAAAGATTAACAAAACGAAAAGATATAAACGTAAAGTAGTGTAATTTTAAAATCAGTCCTTTGTGCAACATGGTTTGCTTAAAGTCGACTTCCACTCTAAACTGTATATCGGCTTGTGGCTTAAGGTAAACGTCCTAGTGATTGAACGAACCAATAATTGAATTACTAATAATATACTTATGTTTGTTAAGATGCTTATCAATAAAACATATCAATAAAACATATCAAATATCAATGAAACAAAATTACAAAGTAACTAAATATTTCTTTTCATTTATTATATTGTTTTGAATATATTGAAAAGCATTACAACAAAGAAAAATACAAAACCAATATGTCAATCATTGGGGCATGTATGTTCGATTACTGGGACGTTTACCTTACTATCTTATATTTTTCTCGACAATGTTTTTAAAGCAAAAATTAGAAACTTTATCGAAGACATCAATAGGCTAGACACACTTTTGTTAAGAAGTAAAATCTGTTGCCTCATTAAATTGATGAGTCTATCATATACTAAAAATATAAATATAAATTAGCATAAAAAATTAAAAAGTACATTTTTTATGATCAACAAGACTTGGAAATTTGTCTAGTAGCATGTTGAAATGTGTGTTCACAAACTGTGATAAATAGAGAAACTCTTTACGTTTTTTTAAATTTCTTTTGTTCATAACTTTTTAATAAACAGCGACCAATGACTACAAGTTTTTAAAGATTATTCAGAACATTGATTTCGACAATATATGTCAATGTCAAAATCATCGGTGAGGTGTCTTCTCATAAAACTGTAAAAACAAGTGTGTTACATTAACACATTTTACGTGTGTAATCCGTGTAGTCGTTTTTGACACGCTTGCATGTGTGTAAATATGCAATACATAAGTGTGTAGATTTGCAAGAAACGTATAGGTATAACACACGAAAAATATGTTCTATAGACACGTATGATTCGTGTTGTGCTAGCTGAATGCATATA